ATGTATGTATGTATGTATGTATATATGTATGCATGTATGCATGTATGTATGTATGTATGTATGTATGTATGTATGTATATACGTATATACATACATATATATATATACATATACATATATATATATATTATATATATATAATTCGCATATATTGATGGTGTAGATTCAGATGAAAAGACTTTATATGTGCGTCCTTGACAATTGTGAATTCATCAGGTTCAGAGCTAAGTGTTTATAGGGTTTGAAAGGGGTATATGCACACCTTCACATTCACTTGTTGTTCACAGCCTTTTGTCTCTTCGTTGATTTGACAGTCTTCGAATATTTCCGCTTGACCCACACGTGTGCTGCCCCCACGCTTCTTCCAGATGTCTACCTACTCAGTTTAAAAATAGACCAACAGAAGACAGGCAAGGTTAAACCAATAAAATGCTGCCCCTAATATCCGAAATTCGATAGATGATAATAAAACGATACAGAATCCTGTTTACATTAAAAAAGCACATTAGTTTGTGTGAAACTGAACTACCATCCATACCATAACAACTGATATATTATATATATATATATATAAGCTGCATTAAGAAATTGAACCGCAAGATCACTACAGCGTAGATATCTATACATTGTGAAGCACGTAGCTAAGTTCTCGGCCCTGCACTAATCAAGACACATACGCGGCAAATGATCCGTATAACACAAACACATACCATGAACGAGCCAATGCCTGAGTACTGTGTGACTTGCACAGTGTCCGTGGTACCCTGCGCCTGCCTTCGCTCAGTTTTTGTTTTCTCAATTCCTAGCGTGCTACGATGGTGTGAAGAGAAGTAGTAATAGAAAAAATTGTGGTGAGAAACATATATTAATATCTGCAAAAGCACATACCAATTACACATACAGTGACATATATTAATATCAAAAGTGCATACCAATTACACATACAGTAACATATATTAATACATGCAAAAATGCATACCAATTATACATACAGTGACGTATATTAATATATGCAAAGGTGCATACCAATTACACATACAGTAACATATATTAATATATGCAAAAGTGCATACTAATTACACATACAGTGACGTATATTAATATATGCAAAGGTGCATACCAATTACACATACAGTGACATATATTAATATATACAAATGTTTATACCAAATACACATACAGTGACATATGGGAGAATACACAACAAGTACACATACAGCAAAATACGCCGCAATACGTACCACATGTTATCATTTAACCCCGCGTGCAGCAGCGGGCGCAATACTATGTAGAATATGTATCCAAATCAACGTTTAAACTATTTAATACAAACACATACGCAGAGATATCTATGTGTGGGTTCAATGCACTATTATTATCTAAATCAACATTTAAACTATTCCATACAGACACATACGCAGAGATATCTATGTGTGGTTTCGTCGTCCCGTCGGAATCATCTCCCGGGGCTGGCTTGTGGACCTGACTGATGTACGTAAACGAAGGCGAAAATAATTAGTGTGATTATTGGCTCGCACACAGGACTAACTACGTCAATATATATATATACTAAGCAGCAGAAAGCAGATAAGTCTCGCGCCAATCAACCCTAATGCATCTCAGCATACTATAGCACTCGCCAAGTCATAGGCTTATGCAAGCGATATAAACTACAGGCCCCTAATAGGCATTGAGGTGAACACAAGCGACGTCTGCTTCAGAAGTACTTCTGATATTTAACTGAGAGAACAATAGAGCGCTCACAACACACCCTCTGTGGTTAGTTCATGCAAGTGTTATATATATGGCGTCCGTAGTGGGTCTGTCTGCGTGTCGTAGGAGCGCTATAACACTATAACACGGATAACATAGTTAACTTATCTGCTGTACATGCAATCGTACCACAACCACAACCCTACTACCCTAAACCCAGAAACATCCCTACACCCAGGATTGCCAAACACGCGCAGAATATACTCGACAACACTACCCCCGAGTGGAAACCTCAACCCTAAACCTTAAAACCCTAAAGCCTGAAACCCTAAACCCTCAGAATATATCAAAACATTCTTAGAAATGGACATACCCAGTCACATCGATGTGCGGTTTGATCGACCCTTCGGAACCAACAGCCCCGGCTGGTTTGTCCACCTGACTAATATATACAATTAAGTACATAAATGGTGAGTATACCCAAGCAAGTACGTAAATGGTGAGTATACACAAACAAGTACGTAAATGGTGAGTATACACAAACAAGTGCGTAAATGGTGAGTATACACAAACAAGTACGTAAATGGTGAGTATACACAAACAGGTACGTAAATGGTGAGTATACACAAACATGTACATATATGGCAGCCAGATAGTATATGCCTAGCCAAATACGTAAACGAGTACGTATTGAACGAGTTGCGATTACAGTCTGATTACGTCGTATCGCTGCATTCGACCGATACATTACAGGGGGTTCTGGATTGGGGTTCTGGATTGATATATGTATATAAGTATACATCTTATCGAATACGTACAGATGCATGCGAGTATATACCATCCAACTGCAAGCATACATTATGTTCCCTGTGTTCCAAATGGCCTGAGACGGTAAACGTGCTGTGGGGTTATTAAAATACTCTGTACACCACTTAATTGGTTCTAGTCAGGAATCCAAATACAAATGCAAGCAATTTGGAGCCTATACAGAAGTGGACGTATTATTATAAGCAGCTTACGTTTTGGATCAACGTATATGACTGGAGCTATGTATATATATATGCATATATGCATATCTATATCTATCTATCTATCTATCTATAATATATNTATATATATATATANATATATANATATATATNATATANATATATATANATATATATATATATATATATATATATATATATATATATATATATANATA